AGAAACCCGTAACCACCCCCCCCCCCCCCCCCCCGCCCCTTTCCAGGGAGCTGTCACCATGGAAACCTTGCCATCCCCAGAGAAACTCCCATCCCTAGGGAACTGTTGCCAGGGCAACCACCATTCATCACTAAGGACCTGCCACTGGGGAAACCCCCATCACCAAGGCAATCAGCCAACCTCCAGCTGACTGTAACCAGGGGAACCATCACCAAGGAGACACATCCCCACAGGCAAACAGATCAATGCTGGAGACACAGTCCATGGCCAAGGAAACCTGATCTTACCAGGGCAGCCATCGCAAGGGAGAGCATCACCAGGGATGCCTATATCACTACCACAACACGCCACAGCCAGGCAGTTTCCATGGAGATCATCAACTCCACAAGACCCCCATAGACCTACAACCACCTCCCTGCTCCCCACTCCCCCTACCTTGTCTCCGTCCTCCCCGGCAGGGCCCGGGGGGCCAGCTGCACCTGGCAGCCCCACGGGGCCCTGGATCCCGTCATGTCCAGCTGAGCCCAGGGGGCCCCTCTCGCCCTGTGGGGGAAGGAACAGTGTCAGGGGGCATGGCCCTGGCTCCCCACCTGTCACCCCTCCCCACACCCTGGGCACAGACGGAGCGAACCCAGGCATCCTGACCCCGTTCCCTGCCCTGCCATGAGGCAGCACTTACCGGGGATCCCTTCTCACCAGCAGGGCCGAGAGGGCCCTGTGCCCCGCCCCGTCCTGGCAGCCCGATGCCCCCGGCAGGGCCTGAGGGACCGCGCTCACCAGGGGAGCCCTGGGGGAGAAGTGCAGGGGTTAGGGCAGAGACAACCCCCCATCCCGGGACTCCCTGCCCAACTCCCCCATCCCATCCTGCCCCTCCCAGCTCTGAGGTCAGGGTGGGGGGACTGGTTCCAGCACTCACTGTGGGCCCAGGAGGGCCAGGGGGGCCTTCCCCACCCTTCAGGCCAGCTGGACCCTGCAGGAAGAAGAGACAGGATGGTTACAGATGGGAAGAGAGGCAGGTGGTCCTGCTCTGAGCCACATTCCTCCCAGGGGGAGTGTGTCAGGGGTGGGGGCCATGTCTCCAGGCCCCGGCTACACTCACTATCTCGCCAGAGGCACCACGGGCGCCAGGGAAGCCATGGACACCAGGCGGGCCACTCCTTCCAGGGGTGCCGGCTGGGCCAGGGTCTCCCTGTGAGACAGAAATGTCAGAGTTGGGGAGCAGAGGACTCCTCCCGCAGGCCTACCGTCCTCCCAGAGCAGCAGAGAACCCAGGTGTCTGGGCTTCCAGATCCCCCTGCTCCAACCCACCCAAATCTCACTGCCCTCCCTGAGCAAGGAGAGAACCCATGTGTCCGGGCTGCTGGCCCCAGGCACTTACCTTGGTGCCTTCTCTGCCAGCAGCGCCTGGCAGCCCCTGCTCCCCAGGGGAACCGGGGGGGCCTGGGTGCCCCCTCTCCCCCATGGGGCCGGTTTCCCCTGAGTGACCCTGGGGGTGCAGACACGCTGTGGTGAGCTGGGGGAAGCAGCTGGGGGGCAAGGATGGGAGGGCAAGGAAGGGGGGTCTCACTCACCTGAGGTCCCACGACCCCTGTGGGGCCAGGGGGGCCGGTCTTGCCATGGAAACCCTGTGGGACAGGGAGGGGCGGGGGTCAATGTGGAGTGACCTCTGGCCCTTAGTTGGGCAGGGGGCAGAGGCAGGGGGCACTCACTGGCTCTCCACGCTGTCCTGGGTGTCCCGGCAGCCCGTCTTTGCCAGGGGGACCCTGTCAAAGGCAGAGCAAATTGAGAGGGGCAGCAGGACCCCCAGGGGCTACACAGGGACCCCAGCCCTGACTCTGCTCAGGAGTGGGAGGGGGGCATATCCTCATGCTGTGGCCCTGCCCTGGTGCACGGGCACATGCATGGACATGCCCTCACACGTGTGTACTTACTGGAGGCCCCTTGGGACCTGGGAAGCCACTGGAACCTTGTGGCCCCTGGGGGCCCTGTCGTGGGGGGGAGCAGCCATGAGACCCAGAG